ATACAAACAAAATTCGAAGCCCTAACTGTAAAACTCTCAGCGCTTTATAAATATCGCTTATTTCGCTCCCCGACTACGCTCAGAAAATCGCTATTTTGATAAACTTAAAATATTTTCCCCCCCATAATCGACATTTCCTATCATTCTTGGATAGTTTAGGGAGTGTTTAAGCCAATAAAAAAAAAAATGAAAAAAAAAAAGTCACAAGGTGATATTACCCCTTAATTGTTTGTATTCGAGTTGTCTCTCGAGGGTTAAAGTATCGATGTATAACGCGATTCTACTAAGCGCGTCTACATGCGTCATTTGACCGCCGGATTTATGTGTAACTGTAAAACTATAATTTTGTAACGCGAGCGTCCAACGTGCAATTCGCGGATTAAGGTTTGCCTTGTTAACGGCATAGACTAATGCGTTACAGTCTGTCACTACTGTGAATTTAATTCCGTACAGATATATATGGAAACGCTCGATTGCTTTTACTATCGCTAACATTTCTAATTCGAAACTATGATAATTTCTTTCTGCCTGATTGGTAGACTGACTATAATACGCGATTGCCTTCCAATCACCATTCGTCTGTTTCTGTAACAGTATACCGCCTAAACCTATGGCGCTTGCATCTGTGTGCAATTGTGTCTCAGCTGCTGAATTGTATAGTGCCAGCACTGGCTGTGACGTTAATTCGGCTTTGAGCGTATCGAAAGCTTGTATACATTTATTATCGAAATCGAATTTAACTGTTTTGCGAAGCAAATTTCTGATTGGTGCGGATTTCGTAGAGAAATCTCTGATGAATTTTCTGAAAAAGTTAGTTAACCCGAGAAAACGCTGTACTTCATGTACGTTTTGCGGTATAGGAAATTTTCTAATTGCGTCGGTATGCTTAGAGCTAATCGTGATTTGATTTTTCGAAATTATATATCCTAGAAATTCAATTCGACTCTGTAGGAATTTACATTTTGAGAGATTGATTTCGAAGCCATAACGTTTTAATGTTCGCATGACCTCGCTGAGTATAATTAGATTTTCATCAATATTATTTGTCGCGATCATGATATCGTCGATATATACAATGACCTTGTTGTCATGTATAAACGGTAACAGAATGTGTACTAGTCGCTTTTGGAATTCTGCTGGCGACTCACAAAAACCGAAGGGTAACCGTTTGTATTCAAATTGTCCTTCGTGCGTTGCGAAAGCAAAATATTTGGTGCTACTTTCGTCGACCTTTATTTGGTGGAAACCGTCTTTAAGATCGAGGAGAGTAAAGACTTCTTTGTTCCCGAGGAGAGCAATACAGTCCTCTATAATTGGGAAAGGATATTTCTGTTTTTCGACTCGTTGATTTAGCGGTCTTAAATCAACACATAATCGAAGACGTCTGTCTTTTTTTCTCACCGGTACTACGCGGGCGCAATACGGGGAGCTACTTCTCGAAATTATATTACGCTCTAGAAGATCTTTAGTAATTTCTTGAATTTGTTCTTTTTCTCCGTGTGCAAAGCGACGTGGAGCATATGCAAAAATAGATTCGTCTTTGAGGCGAACTTTAACTTTATAGTTATCATCAACTTTCTCTGTCTCTTCTGCGTCAATTTCGAGCAGTAATTTTTTCAGAGCTCGCGTGCTCTGCGAACCGAAGTCGGTTTCGATTCCTTCGAAGCGATTTGATACGCTGCTATCTTCGGCGCATGCTAAAACGTTTAACAATACTTCGGGGAACGAATTAATGTGCGAGTCGTTTGTAACTTTCGGCGGAACGTAAACCGCTGTGATTTTATGCGCATCGAGAAAATCTCGTCCGATGATTATATCGGTAACAAAACTATCGTTGTCTATAATGTTTAATGATATGCTGAGATTTACATTAAGTTGCTCAAGCGTAATTTCCGTGTGAACGACACCGAGTATTAATACTGGCTCACCGTTTAATGCTCGATAGGTGACTTTAGGTGTGCTATTCGAGATTCTAGTATTATAAAAAAACTTTTTAACCAATGAATGTTTTATAAATGATATCGGACTTCCGGTATCTACTAATGTTCGTAGGTTACAAACCGTATTATTTATCGAACTAACCTTTAAAGCCAAGTTTTGAATAAAAATGTTCTTGCCACTAGCCTGAACGTGCGCTATCAGTGCGTCGTCGTCATCGGCTGATTCGTCGGCTGTCACCGTTGCTACCGGAACAGTCGCTGATGATGAAGATGCTGGTGCGGAGGATGCCTGCTGTGTCGATTGTTCCTTACGACGCTGCAACTTGAAACACTTGTCCCTCTCGTGACCTGGTATTTTGCAGAATGTGCAGATAATTGCTGTACCTCCTTTCTCGGACTGGTTACCACTGGCTGCTGCCTTGATCCTAGGTTTGTAGACTGCGTCCTTTGCCCTTGGCGTTTTTGTATCGGAGCGCTTATCGTGCTCGAACGATACGGATGCTATTTGATGCATCGAGTCCAAAAATTCATCGACTGATACTGCCTTCAGTGATGTCGCTAATTCTCTGAGAGACCTGCTGCCAATGCCACTTATGAGAAGGTGGATGGTGCTCTCTTGAGATAGTTCGAGATTATGCATGAGAGTAATTTTCTCCATTGCGTACTCGAGAAACGTTTCTTTGGTGTAGTTCCATTTCCTACTTTCCACTTTTTGTATTGCTACGTGGTATAAAATTCTTCTTGTAAATCTTTTTAATATTGATTCTCTAAATCCTTGCCATGATTCCAGCATACTACCGCTGCCAATATCGTACCATTTCCTTGCTATATTGGTTAACTTGGACGAAGCGGCTAACAATATGACGTCATCTGGAACTCTATGGATTCTGGCGACCTGATCTATTCTCTGAATCCAGAGCTGAACGTTTTCTGATTCGGTACCTCCAAACTCCGGTACTTGAGATGCCAGTAAAGATATCGCTTGCGAGGCTGATATCGTTGAAAGCGTGCTACGCTGTGATGGTTGCGAGGAGCTGTGACTTCTTGGTGACACGGACTCCTGCACCTGTGTCGGTTGCTCTGATTGTGCCGGCTGAGGAGTAGCGTTCCTTGCCGTGAGAGCCAGGAGCATTTCCTGCAGCAAAACTTGTTGCGCCTGCTGAGTCTCCAGGATTTGATTATGCATTTGTTGCATTGGAGTAGTCAGAGCTGTTATAAGTGACTCTACATTCGGTGTTACCTGCCAAGCCTGTTCTGGAACTGGTGAGAGACTTGGTGGAGTAGACGTCTGTCTCGTGATCGTTTTCGGCGTGCCTGCCGTCTTCGCGGAACGCGTTTGAACATTCTGTCTCTCAATGAAATTAAGAATGTCTTCTATTAATTTGTAGCGATCCTCAACTATTGTAATATTAAATCGCTGTGCTTCTGATTTGAGCTGATCTATGGACATTTCTTCCAATTGTTTCCTATCCATCTTGCTACCTTTTCAAATTTCGAAGCTGGTCAAGGTGACTTGTATTATTTTTCCGTTGCGCGACGCTTAATCGACGAACGAACGTTTACGACGGAATTTTCCACTCGCGCTCGTGCAAATTTCACTCGCGAAATTAACCGTGTAATTTAATTGCTTAAGAAAGGAAAAAGGTTCTAGGCCTCTATGAGAATGAGGAGTGAGGGTGAATCCCGCTTCTGAGATTGTAAGATTGTAAGATTATCCCACTTCTGAGATTGTGAGATTTGAGTATGATAATGTAAGATTCCACTTCTTAGACTGTGAGATCTTTATATAATTGTCAGGAAATCCTTGAGAGGAGTAATAAAGGAGTATCTGTTAGGAATTCGTAATAAACAGTCACGGTATAATAAACCCGATCACTGACTTTATTAACACAAAACTAAATTGATACAATATTAATGTACTTGCGCGTACTAATGACGGAGTTCTTTTGGTGATCGAATATTAGTTAAATCTATATCGAAATCTACCGAACATCTCGTGCCGTGAGACGTACTCCGAGATCCTTTATTCTCTCTTGAGATCTCTTGCGCATGTGTCGTGCGCGGTGACGTCGCGTGCTCCGATTCGCTCTGGAGCAACAGAGCGCTGTGACAGATGTCAGCAGCTCGCGGGAGGAAGAACCAAGTCGAAAGCTCTAGAATATTCGATGTGATTCTGGAACTTTCTTACAATATATAGAATTAACGTACTTACCTGTAACTCCGTACTTACCTGTAACAGCGGGAGACGAATTCAGCAACGTTCCTCGCATCCTGTGTTGTACCTGAAAATAAAGTGAAAATAAAAAAAAGTATATAATGTTAAAACGTAGGAAATAGATAAAGGAGCATGACTAGCGATGCGAGCGCGGAGAACGCGCGAAACGAACGACGAGCGTCTTGGTAGGGGAACGCGCGCGGCTATAAAGGTGGGCGCACAAGCTAAATCGGGGAATTTGCTGGGCAGTCGCGGGACGGATAACGCGAGTAGGCATTTGCCGGGATTTTCGCCACAGAGTACGTATAACGCGAGTAGGCATTTTGCCGGGAGTCGCAAACAGTCAGTCGCAAAGAGCAGTTACGTCGGAAATAAAAAGTCTGGGGACAGCAATCGCCAGCAACTATAATTGATAGTAATAAAGTTACACATTCGTAGCAGAGATCTAAAGCGGAGTAACGGAGTACGGGAGATTAGCGGACGGAAGTAACGTACGCTCAACGCGTGGTCGCCGCGAGTAGAAAAGAGTGCGTTGGCCGCGAGTAACGTCGATTCATCCCACCTCTAGGAT